CACAGGTGGCCACGTGCCACAGAATCCCAGCGAAAGGGAAAATCCTAGACAGGCAAATCCACATGGGCAGAAGGGGCGTGGGCGGGGACACAAGGACTGCTCGGGGCTCTGCCCTTTTCTTTATGCGCGACAGAAGTGACCCGGCCTGGACTGGGGTGACGGGTGCACAGCTCTGTTCCTATGCTGGAAGTCGCTGGATCACACAGCTGAAATGCCTGCGTTCCCTCAGGGTTTGAGCCCCGCACACACATGCGCGCGCGCGCACACACACACACACACACACACACACACACACAAAAGCAGCAGTGTAAATGAATGAATTGGATGGAACATGAGGTAATAATAAAACTTAAAAAATAGACTGGGAGTTTCCAGACTTGGGGACCTCATGAACTAATAAAAATAAAGAAATAAAATGTGGTTGTCGTAGTTACATTTTCTCATTGCTGAGACAAAATGCCCGATGCCCAAAGCAAAAGGAGGGAAGTGTTTTGGCTCAAGGTTTGTGGAGGTTCGGTCCATAGTCAGCCGGCTCCAAGGCGGGGCCGCGTGGGAGAGGCCTCGCAGAGGAGAAACGGTCCATGGCAGGGCAGGCAGAAGGCAGCAGAACAGTGAAGTAGCAAGCAGCGGGCAGCGGGCAACAGCCCTTTTTCTGTCCCCTGTGTCCTGTCCAGGCAACCCACCCTTAGCTTGGGCAGCACTGACACCAGGGTGGGGCAGCCTTGATCCTAGCATGGAGCCATCACTCAGTCCCAGCATCACATGCTCGATCCCAGCAGCACACACCCTGGATCCAGCCACCTCCAAAAAGCCCCACATACGACTGCATGAGGCTTAGGGGGACATCTAGAACCAAGCCACAACAATGATCTGATGTCACACATGTGCATGAACACATGTGCACATACACACATGTGCACATGCACGTGTGTGTGTCCTCTTGGGAGCAGGGAGCAGGGTGAAGTACCCCTAGCCCTCCCAGGTCTCCCTGGAATGGGCTTTTCCTGATGGGACACAGTGCAGAGCCTCCTTAGGGTGGCTGTGGGTCCCCTTCCATTTTGAAGAACTTGGAAAATGCCCCCCTCTGTTCTTCCCTGCTGGATGATAAAGCGGCCCAGCTCAGAGCCAGGTCTGCACAGACCCTTTTGTGGGGCTCTGTGATGCTAATCTCCAGGGACCCGTGGAGGGGACATCCGCAGTGCGTGTCCCGGGCCCGGGTGTAGCAGCGTCTTCTGTGGACACAGACCAGGGCCAGCACTCGGTGATGGCGGATCTCGGGCGCAGTGGCTGGCTTGGCTCAAGGGTGTGCTTTTATTAGGAGTTGCTGTAAATCTGGCCATGGAGGGAGAGGACCGGCTCTGTGCCTCTTCCTGTCTCTGCTGAGAACCCTTGTTCCCATCATCACGCAGTGCTTAGCAAGCGCCTACACCTACAGAGCTGTGGCTGCCCAGGAAGCCCATTCCCCTGCACGCTGTGCACCAGGCTCCCTGCGCAAACTGCCTTCTCTCCTCGGCAGGCAACCGGGCCAGCACCTGGGCTGTCTCAGGCACCTGTGGCTTGGCAGACAGCAGTGCCTGGGGTGCTTGTACTCAGGCTGGGTGCCATCCTATAGCATCCAGGTGAACGAGGTCCCCACTGGCACCTTGCAACGGCGCACGCCAGAGATCTCAGCCTTCCTGGATGCACGGCGGCTGCATTTGAACTCTTCCCGCCTATTTTTTTAGCAGTGCTAGGACTGGAACCCAGGGCCTTCCAATGCTAGGCAACTACTCCACCGCTGAGCTGCGCCCTCAGCCCTTTTATTTTTTCATTTTGAGACAAGGTCACATTAAATTGCTCACCACTGGCGTCAAACTTGCAATCTTCCTGCCTCAGCCTGTCTGGTAGCTGGGGTTATAGATGTGTGCACAACACCTGGCAGAACATTTTTTGTTCATTAGTTGCTAATACTCCATAATCGAGAGAGAGGGCAGCTCTTAAAACTGAGCGCTCAGCTACTGATTCTTTTGTTGTTGATTTTGCGGTGCTGGGAATCAAACCCAGGGCTTTGTACAAGGTACACGTGCCCCACTGCTGAGCTGCACCCCCAGCCCGTGCTGCTTCTTGCAAAGTCAGACCTAGCAAGATGCTCCCCCCACCCGCCCCAGCATGCACCTCCCAGCTCTGAGCAGGGCGTGTCTCCCCGCGGCCGCCCCTCCGCCAGCGCTATCCCTTGCGCTTGTCCTCCTGCCTGCAGGAGCAGCATTCCCATGCTGGCCGGGCTCTGAGGAAGGCACACGCCACGCCCCAGCCTTTCTGGTCCCAGCAGTGGGTGGGTCGTACAATATGCAGTGAGTGCTTAAATGAAATTCGTTACAGTGAAACACAGCCACCAACCCCCCGCAGAACCCCATCCCCTCACCCCGCACGCTCGTCCCATCGTCCTGGCCACTTTCTGCAGCGGTTCTGGAAGTCCTCTTTCCTGAGTGTGTGCACGAGGTGTGATAAAAAATACAGTGACTGCTCCCGCCGAGCACCTTCAGCAGAAGGGCAGGCGCACAAAAACACGTTAGTGTGTCCTCCTCCATCTGACTCACCAGACCTGCCACCCTCGGACTTCGGACTCTTCCCCGAATCAAAATGACTGTGAAAGGTAAATGTTTTCAATTCATTCAAGACACCGAGGCAGCCACAGCAGTGCAGCTAAAGACACTCACGGAAGAGGGCTCCAGAGCTGCCTCAGAAAGCGGCAAGAGTGATGGGACCAGTGTGTTTGAAGCAAGGGGAGTGTGAGAGTATTTGTGGCAGTGTGTTTTACTGTAATATATTTGATTTAAAGCATTTAAACATTGGCTGTATCACACCTTGTGTAGCAGGAGGCCTGCCACGCAGTGGGGTACACGTCTGCAGAAGAGTTGCTTGTGTTGGTGTCTCACTCAGGCTGGCTCCTACACCCAGAATGTTGTCCCTCCTGTCCCCTGTCTTCCCAATCCTGTTCCCCAGAGGCCCCACCTAATTCCGCTTCCGGGAAGCGCATCCCAATGGCTCAGCCCTAGGGAGCCCTGTGGCTCCCTCCTCTGCGCCCGCTTCTCCTAGTGGTGTTCTTGTTGCTGTCACTGCCCTCACCCCAGCCCTCACCCCCTGCCCTCACCCCCTGCCCTCCTCTCCCTGCCCTCCACTCTACCCTCCTCTCCCTGCCCCCCACTCTGCCTTGTGCCCACAGCCTACTCCCAGGCACCGTCTCCACCCCACAAGGTGTCCCTCACCTCCCTTCCCTGTGGGACGCTGGTCTCCCCTCCAGGAAGGGGAAGAGGGCATGGAGGCCTGGGCTGGGTGTGGCATGGCCCCTCTTTCCCCTCCAGCAAGTCCCAGGGCCTGCTCGAACCCCTAGAGTCTCCAGGCCGGCTGGACCGGCTGTTCTGTGCCCATCATAGGCCCAGCAGCAGCCTGGCTGTCTTCAGCATCACTAGGTCAAGTCTCCCAGAGACTCTGAGCGGGGTTGTGGAGGAGCTGAGTCCCCACGGGCTGGGACCCATCTGAGCGGGGCTCCCGGGCCCCTGCCTTGCGGATGGGCCCGCTTGGGCCCTGGGTGAAAGGGTGAATGAATGAACGAACGAGCAAATGGCGCATGCTTGCCTGAGGCACCGCCCCCTCCTGGCACAAGCCGGCTGCCGGCACGCCAGTGGGATTTGCGGGGATGTGGTCTGGACCGTGTCACCATATGGATCCCATAAATTAAAGCATTCCAGGAAACAGCGGTGAATTTATGCGTCTCTGCCTGGGGGCTGGCGGAGCCTGTGGTCGCCCAAGGAACTTGGCGACGTAGGTGCTTGGGTTTATAGCACTAATCTCTGAAAGAAAAAGACTGGATCAACATAAAGCTGCCTTTGACAGCCGCGCCGAGCCCGTCACTCACTGGTAACCGCGAAGAGGACGGTCACCACCCCGGGCCCGGCCCCACGGCCAGAACGGGCTTCCAGCCCCAAACCCACGCAGGGGCTCAGCTGACTGGCCTCTCAGGGCAGGGCTCGGCAGTGCCTGGCCTGGGCTGACCCCGTCCTGTACCTCGGCTTCCCACTAGCACCTCTGAGCCTCAGTCTCCCCAGCCTCGGAGAGGGAATGGGACCAGGCATCACCAGTCACAGGCGGAGGGCAGGAGGTAGTGACCCAGGCTGGGCTGTGGTGTTTGTGAGGACAGAGCTTCCACCCCAGTGATGGGGGCTCTGGAGGTGGACAGCAGGGGCAGCACTGTGTGCTGAGTATTGATGATGCCCTGAGCTCTTGCAGTGCTCAGCCTGGGGGTCCTGGGTCAGATAGACCCCAAGCTTAAGAAGTACAGCAGGTGGGGGCGGACAGGTGACCCTGCAGTGTGGGCTGAAGCCTGGCTGTTCGCTTACAGTGAGGGCTGTAGGTGTTCAGCATCGCTGTGGGCCTGGCTCCCTCTCTATGGGCCCCGTGTGGGTTGGTGCCGGTGGGGCACAGCAGGAACTTCTCACAATCCCGCAGATGCCCGAAGGCCCGGGCTGCCTGTGGCTGGAGCTGTACCCTGGGGTGTGGCAGCCACGTGCAGAGGCCTCCTGTGAGTGCCTACCTCTGTGCCAGGAGCGCTTCTCAGTCTGCCAGCTCAGGGCATGTCCAGACAACTGGTCATAGCAGGCCCCAGACGCCATCCCCAGGGGTCTTGGAGAAAGCACCCCTTGGCTTGCCAGTTGCCCCTGAGATGGCCCAGGGGCTGTCCCAGCTCGCTGAGCCCAGTGCCAGGACCTGGTGACTGGGCAAGGGTGCTGGCTGGGCCTTAGCACCTTGGTGGGGCTGGGGAGCACTGTGAGGATGGGCCCATAGCCGTTCCGCCCAACAGCGGCTTCGCCAGGGACCTGCTGGGCCGCTGCCCTGAGGCAGCTGTGCTGGATCCTAACCCCGGAGGCCAGGCCACGGGGACGGCACCCTTGGGAAGACGGCCCCTTCCACCGCACCTTCCGCCCGGTGTGGCCCAGCTCACGTGTCCCTTCCTGTCCTTGCAGGTCACCGCCACCTCTCTGGAGGTATCAGCTGCTGTCCCCACTCCTGCCCTGGAGCCTGAGCTGCGGCCGGGGCTTGCTGCCACCACCAGCCTGCCCAGGGACCCCAGGATGGCGCCGGAGCCGCAGCCAGTGCAGAGCCACCCGAGCCACGACGGGGACAGACAGGACCTCCCGGGCACAGGTATGGGCAGCCTTCGTGGGGCCTGGCCGCAGGGCTGGGACCGAGCACCGCGGGGTAGGGCGGGCGGGGGTCTCAGAGCTGAGTCTGTGTTCTCAGCGCCACATCTCCCTGACTTGAGTCAGGGTTTTACTGCCGTTTTCCCGGGTGCTGGGCTGTGGTTTGCTCAGGATCCTGGTCCTTGGTGCCCTCGGGGTGCCCTGGGCTCACGTGCGGCTCTGATTGCGTGTTTGCTGCCCCCCGCACCCGCTCTCTCATCCGTCCACACTTCCAGACACGGTCACTGGCAGCCGCCGGGCCCACGGGGCGGCTCGGGGCTTGGTGTGTGAGTGTGCGTGTCCCTCGACTGGTCCGGAGGACACAGCCGCCCTGCGGGGGCTGACCAGAGCCCCCCCCCCTCCTGGCGCTCTCAGCCACACTCAGCCATTGGCTCTCGTGTTCCCGCTGTGCTCCCCCACGACCCTGGTTGTGCCGCTGTCCCTGGTCCACGGCTGGCGTGGACTCCTGAGCCGTTCCCATGGTCAGGGTCTTGATCACCCCTGGCTGGACTCTGGCATGCAGAGGACGCAGTGTCCTTTCATAGCCCCTGTTTCTCTGAGCCCAGACATCCCCAGGTCAGTTCAGGAGATGGAGGTAACGTTTCTGTTCCCAGTAAGGACTCTGTTCAGAGACCCCGGTGGGTGGCCCGTCACTCTTGAGTTCCTGAACTGGTGGTCACGGTGGCTGCGACCTGCCTCCCCCTGGGGCAGCAGTGGGGGGCCCCGAGAGTGTGGGGAGCTGGGGCCTTGGGGACATGCTGCGCGTCCCTCCCGCAGGGAGGCCTGGGAGGGGTTGGTGGGGCTCTCTGCCCAGGCCTGCCTGCTGTGCCCGTCAGGCTGAGCCCAGTGTGAGGATGGCTCCTCCGCACCCCCTAGGAACGCGTCCCGCATCAGGACCCCTGGGGTGGCTCAGAAACGTGACAGTGATGAATGGGTTATTATACACCTGCCCCCTCTCCGCCAGCGGCGGTGCAGCCTCAGGCCCAGCTGTGCTCTGCCGCTGTGCGGGGGAGTGGGCACGGGCAGGTGAGGGACGGATGGTCAGATGCACAGACGAACAGACAGCAGCTGACTGGCACACAGGCAGGCACACGCAGATGCACTTGTGCGCACGCACTCAGACACAGCCCACAAGACCCCGCACACACTGTACGCGCCTGGCTACAGGACGGGGCCAGGCTGTCACACTAACACGCGATACGCACGTCCCGGCTGGGGCAGGGCTTGGCAGCGGGTGGCAGCGGTGCGGGCCCTGGCAGGGCCCAGCTGTGACCTCTGACCCCGGTCCCCACAGGCGCCAAGCGTGGGCGGCGGCAGGTGTGGGCGCTGAGGGGCCTCGGTGGCTGCGTGTGCCCCGTGAGACTCTGGGCACCCAGGGCCCGCCCGCTCCGGTCACAGTGGCTGAACGTGGCCTCTGGGCCCGTGGCGCAGTGCCCTCGGGTGTGGGCTTTGGGTGCCTGGCCAGGCGCTTGCTGAGCGGGCAGCGTGGCCCCACGCCCTGGGGTTGGCACGCCCCTGGGATGTGTCAGCTGCCCCGAGGGAGGCTGCGTCAGGACCCCAGGGCTGTCCTCTGCCCGTCATGTGAAGGTTGCGGTGACTCTGGGGCTGTAATCTTCTGACACGCAAGGCGAGACCCCTGGACTGAGGGGAAGTCACCAGCTGAGGGGTGAGGGGTGAGGGGCTCAGCTGCTCCAGCCGCAGAACAGGTGTGGTAAAAATGAAGTCCTCCTGCTGCAGCCACGTCCGTAAGGTGGGGTAGGTACCAAGATGGCCCTCATAGCAGCCATGCACAGTTGTGTAGGTTGCACACTAAACAACTCCAGTGTGCTGATCTCCTGGTTGTCTTTGCAGATACGTTCTGTGTGGCCACGGGGTGAGGGGCTGCAATGTTACATTGCTGTTGTAAAGTGGTGCCCTGGTGTCATGCCATGTAGGCCCTGGAGGTCCTTTCTGAGCCGTGCAGCTGCTCCTCCGGTGGGCGTAAGGTCTTTACTGTCAGAGGTCCACGTGGGGCGTGGGGTCGGGGATGGATAGCCAGGCCGAGGCTGGCTGGCCATATCCAGGGAGCTCATCCACGGCCCCATTAGCCCCAGCCCGTGAGGATCAGCCCCGTGTCCCGCCCCACCCCTCATTGCCCCGTCCCCTGTGGCTGACACCCACGCAGCTTCCAGCCTGTACCCCCAGCTATGGGGTGGCCCCTGTGCCACCCACGGGCGATGCCTGTCACCCTCGGGAGCCCCCCAGTTGCCCTGCGCAGACTCGCCTCCTTGGCCTGCCCGCCAAGGTCTTCTGCTCCCCCCACCTCCTAGACGCTGCCTGCCGGCGCTGTCCCCAGGGTCACCTCTCCGCATGTGCACACCCCACCCACCCCTCCACTGGGCTCAGCCCCACCCCCGCCCTGCCTGTGGATTTGTGCGTTCTCTGGGCTGTTGTGGGACTGCCACGTGCCTCGGTTTCCCCCCTGCAGAGCAGGATGATGGAGGGCCTGGCCGTTGTGTGGGCTCCGGAGCTGGTCTTGGACGAGCGCGTGGTGTGTGATGGGGGAGGACCCTGGCCACCCTCGGCTCCTGTGGGCTCCAGGGTCCTGGCTTCCACCTCCCCTTTGTTGGGCAAGCGGGCAGGCCGAGGCAGGGCCAGCGAGGTGGGGGCTGTGCTTGGGGACTTGGCTCGGCCTCGGGGTGTCCTCGCTCTGCACTTGGTGCTGGGGCAGCAGCGGAGGCGCGGGGTGCCTTGGCCGTGCGACGCCCGCTCCCGGGCCTTTCCACAGCACGGCGCCCCCGGCCTGTCACCCCCTGTGTTCCTTCGCGTGTGTGTGGCCAGCCGAGGCAGGGTCTACATCTGTTCGGCTTTGCGCTGGCAGCTGTTTATCTCCGCCTTGAAGCACCTTGGCAGCCTGCGGGCAGCGGCCGCCGGGTTGAGGCAGCACGGTGGCTACCAGTGTTGACGTTCGTGAAATTGAAAAGCGTTTCTGTGGGCGGCTAGAGGAGCGACAGCCCAAGTGCTGACTTCAGCGTGGTTCTGATGGCCCAGGGGAGGCCACCCGCCACCCGGCACAGCTGCCGCGAGCAGGGTCTGTCACCTGGAGCCTGGGTATCCGCCGAGCAGGTGGGTGACAGAGGCTTTCTGTGGAAAAGGTGAGCTTAGCAGAGCAGGGCAGCGCCCTCCAAGGCCTGTGCTGTGGCTGCCATTCACCATCTGGCTGCTCCCCAGCCCCGGGCCGGCCCGGGCCGGAAGTGGGCAGCCTGCTGAGTCACCGTTGGGCACCACCGTGGGTTTTGCTCGTCCGAGGAGTAGAATTTGCCAGCTTCTCACTGTGCCCACACGGCACTCACCGTGGCATGCCCGGGGCAGCCCCATTTCAGCACCGGGCGTGTGTCTCCACACCTGGTCACTTCCCATCACCAGCGTGCACATCTGTCCCCACTGCTACGCTACCAGCCGCTTGTGCGGTGTTCACAGATACTCACTGAGCACCTACTATGGGCCAGGCTCTGGGCACCAGGGCATAGCAGCACACAGACAGATGACAGCTGCCCTGAAGCTCTCCTTCAAGAGCCAGGCACATAGTCCGGGACAGTCCAGAGAGGGGTGTGCTCCAGCCTAGGAGTTGGGGGAGGAGCAAGTGCAAAGGGTCGGGGGCCACCCACCCCTAGCGTGCTATGGCCTCCAGGAAGCAGGGATGTGGCTTAGGGGCCTCTTTCTCTCTCCAGCACTTGCCATATTGCACATAGTAGATGCTCAACCAATGTTTGTTGAGTGAGTTCAGCTTTTAAGTCATCTAGTGCTGGGAGCTGGCCCTGGAGGGCAGAGGTCAAGAGGAAGTAAGATACCCGGAAGGGCAGCCTGTCTCTTGGAGGTGTCCTGGGTGGGGTCATGTTCCTGCCAGGCCTTCCTTACTCCGTGCAGAAGCTTCTATCTCTCCGGTCAGGCTGGGCAGTGTTTGTGCCAGGGACCCCAAGGCTATGCTGAGCGTTGTAGGGGGTGGCTGGTCCCCCAAAAGCTTTATAGCCCCTAAGATGCCGCAGGGGAACTGTAGCCCGGAACCTCCCTGTCCCCCTGGGGTTCCTGGCATGGTCACAATGGGGTCAAGGATACTGGAAGGTCACCCCTAGACTTGCAGGGCTCTGGAGAGAGGCTGTGAGTCCTTAGAATCCAACAGGGAGGAGCATTTGTTGAGCACCGACTGTGTAGGTGTGTATGCGCCTGGGAACGGCGTTCTCGCCACCCGTGCTTCCTGTGTTTACTGTCACACGTCACTGTGAATGCAGTGGCCCCAGGCAGAGTGTCTCCTCACACAGTTCAGGATCCACTGGGCTCTCCCTCGGCCAGTGTGACTCAGCCAGGTCCCGGGGAGGCTCAGGGCAAGGCCTGCTCCCTCTGTCCTCACCCGTGGCCCCTGGCGACCCACTAGCCCTGGCTTCCCTCTCCATGTGTCCTGCTGCCCCTGCTGCTGTCTTCTGAGGGCCTGGTGGCCCCTCCCCCCGCCAACCCAGGGCGCTCCCCCAGCACAGGCCGTGCCCTCACCACGGCTATAGAGTCCTCTGCCTCCTCCCGGCAGCCCTCCCAGCTTGCATCCTCCTGGTCCCTGTTGGGGTCTACCAAGGGCACGGGACAGGTGGGCTGGTTGTCCCCAGTGAGTCCCGGCCCCAGGGATCGGCACAGACACCTGCTGGGGGCCGTGACTGACCTGCCACACTGGTCACAGTGGCTGGGCTGGACTTGCGTGGCACTGCCAGGGGATGTGGTACCCTTGCATAGGACCAAGGACTGGAGGGCCGGAAGAAGTGCTGGGATGGTCGTTTACTGAGTGCTGACTCTGTACCAGGCACATTGGGGGGCACCTTGCTGGGCATGGTCCCCCAGGCCTCTGCCGTGCCCCTGGGCTGGTTTGCAGCGCAGGTGCCCGACCCTGCCCCAGGGACTGGGGAACTGTGACCCCGCTGGGTGCAATGCTGCCTTTACCCA